TTGCAGTATTTGTTCAAGTAGAAGGAGCTCAATTTGAGGTAGAGAAGGTGGTTGGAGCTATTGAAGGACTATGATATCACCATCCTGTAACATCCCGGGAAGGCCAATGTGGTGGACAATGCTTTGAGAGGAAGTTAGCCAGTATGGGCAGTCTTGCGTATATTCGAGTCGGTGAGACACCGCTTGTATTAGATGTTCAGGCCTTAGCCAATCGGTTCATGAGGTTGGATATTTCTGAGCCTAGTCGTGTTTTAGCTTGCACAGTCGCTCGGTCTTCCTTGTTTGAGCGTATCAGGGATCGGCAGTATGATGACCCTCATTTGCTTGCCCTTAGGAACACAGTGCGGCACGGTGATGCTAAGCAGGTTACGGTTGGAGATGATGGAGTTTTGAGGATGCAGGGTCGTGTCTGTGTGCCTAATGTGGATGGACTTCGTGAGTTGATTCTAGAGGAGGTCCACAGTTCCCGGTATTCTATTCATCCTGGCGCCGCCAAAATATCAGGACTTGCGGCAGCATTACTGGTGGAGGATAATGAAGAAGGATATAGTTGCATATGTAGCTCGGTGTCTGAATTGTCAGCAAGTAAAGTACGAGCATCAGAGGCCTGGTGGTTTGCTTCAGAAGATAGAGATTTCTGAGTAGAAGTGGGAGCGTATCACCATAGATTTCGTTGTTGGACTCCCACGGACTCAGAGGAAGTTCGATGCGATTTGGGTTATTGTGGATAGACTGACCAAGTCAGCACATTTCATTCCTGTGGCAGTTTCCTATTCTTCGGAGCGGTTGACAGGGATTTATATCTGTGAGATCGTTCGTCTTCATGGTGTGCCCGTGTCTATCATTTCTGATCGAGGTACGCACTTTACCTCGCATTTCTGGAGGGCAGCACAGCGTGAGTTGGGTACGCGGGTCGAGTTGAGCACATCATTTCATCCTCAAACGGACGGACAGTCCGAGCGTACTATTCAGATCTTGGAGGATATGCTTCGCGCCTGTGTCATTGACTTTGGAGGTTCTTGGGATCATTTATTGCCGTTAGCGGAGTTTTCCTACAACAACAGCTATCAGTCGAGCATCCAGATGGCTCCTTATGAGGCATTATATGGTAGGCGGTGTCGATCATCGGTGGGGTGGTTTGAGCCGGGGGAGGCTCGATTATTGGGTACAAATTTAGTGCAGGATGCCTTGGATAAGGTTAAGATCATTCAGGATAGACTTCGTACAGCTCAGTCCAGGCAGAAGAGTTATGCCGACCATAAGGTTCGTGATGTGGCATTCATGGTCGGAGAGAGAGTGTTGCTTCGGGTATCACCCATGAAGGGTGTGATGCGGTTTGGGAAAAGGGGCAAGTTAAGCCTAGGTTCATCGGGCCTTTTGAGATTCTTGATGAGTGGGAGACGTGGACTACAGACTTGCGTTGCCCCAAGGTTATTAGTGGTACATCCAGTGTTTCATGTGTCCATGCTTCGGAAGTATCAGGATGATCCATCCCACGTGTTAGATTTCAGCACTGTCCAGTTGGACAAGTATTTGACCTACGAGGAGGTGCCAGTAGCTATTCTAGACCGGCAGGTTCGTCAGTTGAGACCGAAGAGTTATCCTTCGGTACGAGTGCAGTCGAGAGGTCAACCTGTTGAGGCAGCTACCTGGGAATTCGAGTCCGATATGCGGAGCAGATAATCCTATCTTTTCACTGGCTCAGGTACTTTTTTATGTCCATTCGAGGACGAAAGGTTGTTTTAGAGGTGGAGAATGTGATGACCCAAAGGGTCATCTTATGTTTTAGAACTCGATTCCGTGTTTCGTGGTCTTCAAAACATCATTTTATTCCTTCTCGATTTGCGTGCACAGTCCGGCGTGTATCCGGAAAGCTTTTATGTGAAAAATGATGAAATAATAATTTTTTGCCTAAAAAGTTGATTCTTGTTGACTTCGGTCAACATTTTGGGTAAACGGACTCGAACTCGTGTTCTGATGGTCTCGATGGGTCCGTAGTAAAATATGGGACCTGGGCGTATGCCCGGAATCAAATTCTGAGGTCCCTATCCGAGAAATAAATTTTTGATGGAAATTGTAAGATTGAAATTATAATGGTTTTACGAATTTGGTTGATATTTGATCTTGTTGGTACCGGGTCTATATTTTGGTTCCGGAGCCCGGTACAGGTCCGTTATGATATTTATACTTTATCTGTGAAATTTGGTGAGAAACGGGACTGATTTGAGGTGATTCGGACCTTTGGTTGAGAAAATAGAAGTTTTGAAACTTTCTTGAAAATTTCATGCAATTTGGTGCTGAATTCGTAGTTCTAGGTGTTATTTTGGCGATTTGATCGCGCGAGCAAGTTCGTATGATGTTTTATAACTTGTGTGCATGTTTGGTTTGGAGCCCCGAGGGCTCGGGTGAGTTTTGGATAGGCTGCGCCATGAATTGCACTTAGAAAATCTGGTGTGTTTGCGGTTTCTGGTATGCTGCTACTTTGTTCTATGCGATCGCGAAGCAACTCTCGCGATCGCGAAGTGTAAGATGGGCTGGGGAGGGATTTCTTCTACGCGAACGCGAGGCTTCGGTCGCGAACGCGGAGCACTGAAGGGTTAGCTCTTCGCGAACGCGACCGGCCTTACGCGAACGCGTAGTGTATTGGAGGTGGGCTGGGAAGTCAATGAGTTGTTCTACGCGAACGCGGTCCTAGGCCCGCGAACGCGATGGTCAGGGGGGACAGACCATCACGAACGTGTGCAACTCTTCGCGAACGCGAAGGCCTTCTGGAAGCTGTGCTTCGCGATCGCGATAGGTCTATCGCGAACGTGGTGAAGACTTGTCCAGTGTTTTAAAACAGACTTCAAAAACGGGAATCGTTCAAAATTTCATCTCTCTTCTATTAGAACTCAACCTAGGGCGATTTTAAAGAGGGATTTCAATACCAAATCACAGGTTTGTGTTCTTTAACTCATTTCCTTCAATTTCCATCAACACCCATTAGATTTGTAGTCCTAAATCATGTTCTTAAGTGTAAAAAATTAGGGATTTTGGGAGAATTGGGGATTTTGCAAATTTGGGGATTTAGACCTCGATTTGGGGCCAGACTCCAGAAATAATTACTTATTTGGGCTCGGGGATGAATGGGTGAAAGGGTTTTGGTCCGAACCTCAAGTTTTGACCAAGCGGGCCCGGGGTCGATTTTTTACCTTTTGGGCGAAATGTTGGGAAACTTATAATTATCCATTGGAATTGATATCTTTAGCGATAATTGATGTTATTAAGTTAATTATGACTAGATACGAGTGGTTTGGAGGTGGAATCTAGAGGAAAAACGGTGATTGAGTAGTATGTGGCCTGTGGATCGAGGTAAGTGTTGTGTCTAACTTTGACTTGAGGGATTAGGGATCCCCGACTTAATTGCTATATCAAAATCCATGTGTGTGGTGTATAGGTGAGGTAACGAGTACCTATGCGCCGCTAAATTATCTGTTTAGCCTGTTCCCTTCCCCGTTCCTAGTATATGTCTTCCTGTCTTAACTGCTACATGCTTATTGGTGCTTTCATATTTAATTGCTTCTTGTTAGATGTTGTTTTCTTTATTGAAGGTATTAACTATTATGTAGGTTCATTGTATTACATTATTGGTCTAAGTTGGTTTATCGGTGTTTCATGGTATATTTTGGTTGGTCTCTCTATGTAGTATTAGTTGAGTGAAGTTTCATAGTTGTATTGCCTTCTGTTTGCTTTGGTTTGAGGCTTAAATAGTGTGGAGGGTTTTAAGCCAAATTGTGAAATTTCTGTTCTTATTGTGTGATTGGTACTGATATCGTGGGATCGGGTTGCAAGCCACAATGGGAGGAATAAGGGTGATATATTGAGGAGGAATAAGGGTGAAATGTGATTATCTGGCGGGATCGGGTTGCATGCCGCAACAGGAGGAATAAGGGTGATATATTGAGTAGTAATAAGGGTGGATTGTTATTGTACGGTGGGATCGGGTTGCACGCCGCAACAGAAGGAATAAGGGTGGATTGATACGGAGTAATAAGGGTGAATGTTCATATGGTTACCGATTGGTGGGATCGAGAATCCCGCCGCATCAGTTTATTGTTTATGTATCCTTCTTTTGCTGTGAATTTATTCTGTAGTTTTGTATCTCACCTAAGGATTGGTTATAGCTGGGTACTAATAAGATATTGGAGTTTCGTATTCATTTTTGTTGCAAGTACCATTTCATTTTGTCGTACTTCTTCTCTGCTTTATTATATACTATATGCAGGTTATATTGTAATTTCCTTGCCGTAGCGTCGTCATTACCTCATCGAGGTTAGGATCGGAACTTACCAGTCATGGGGTCAATTGTACTGATACTGCACTCTGCACTTTCTGTGCAGATTTTGGAGCTGGTAGTGGCTGATTGAGAGATCGGCTGCAGGTTCACAGTTTGGAGACCCAAGGTAGTCCTGTTGGCATCCGCAGGCCCTGGCGTTCCCTCCTACTTTTCTATATTTCTATTTTTCCTTCGTTTCAAACAGATGTAATTTCTTTCAGACCAATATTTGTAGTAAATCATAGTGTATTCGTGGATTGTCACACCAGATTCTGGGTAGTAGTAATAGTTATGGTATTGTGAATAGACAAAAGGTTATTTTCGTATTTCCGCATTTATTTCTACTTGATTTAGTCTGTTAAATTTTAATCTATGAAATGTAAAAGAAAAAGGTGGACAAAACTGTAACGTTGGCTTGCCTAGCGAGTGCGATGTTAGGCCCCATCACGATCCCGATGGTGGGAATTCCGGGTCATAACAAAAGTATGTATGTATATATATATATATATATATATATATATATATATACGTATATCGCCTCATATGTTACTGGTGTTTCGTGGATTTCGGATGTGAAATGTATTGATTTATGCTAATTCGTGGTATTTTTGTATGTAGGAATCATCTTGAGGCAATATGAGGCAAAAGGTGCGAGAGTAGATCCAAAAAGGAGCAAAAGTAGAAAATGGCCATTTGTAGCGCCACAGGCAGCGTGGGGCGCTACATATGGCGCAGTTTCCAGAATCCAAAAATTCCCAGCGCAGGGATAGCGCCCGATGCTACCCTGGGCGCTGGTGATGAGAAACCTCTCCTACTTTCCCCGGGACAAGGTTATTTCAGCCCAGAACCTACCCAATGCGTATAAAAGTAAGACTAAGCCTATTTTGAGGGGGAGGAGACACCACTTTGAAAGGAAAATACACACACGGAACATTCGGGAGCAAGGATTCTAAGTTTTTCTTCTCTTCTCTTCTCTTCTCTTCCTTTCATCTCATAGTTTATTAGTTCTAGAGTTTTGGGTGCTACATGAACCTTGTAGTTTGAAGCTTGAATTGTTCTTATTATTTTATCATAATGGTTTATTTATTCAATCTTACGCTTAATTATTTGATTGCTTGATCACCAATTGAATGCTATCTACGAATCTAGGATTGAACTCGGGAGATGAAATTCTAGATTGCATATAAGATTGAGTAGAGGAAGGTCTTGAACTCGAGTAACGGGAACGAATTTGCGGTTAGGATAGGGATATAGCTAATCGCCTTGCTTGGTTACTATACAGGAATTAATAATGCGTTCTTGTTAATCCTGATTCCATAAGAATATAGGCGTTAGGTTAGCTTAAATAGGCGAGTACTTCAGGAGAAGGTTATGAGTGATATTGACCATGTCAACCAATAAACCAGATAAATTAATTAGACAATTTAAGTAGAAAATTCAACGGGATTGTTAGCTAACACATAGCTTTGGAATATTCTTTCCTAATGAATTAGTCTTTAAGCTTGTCGAATTATTTCCTTTAATTTCATAGTTTACTATTTTAGATTAGGTTTAGTTAAATGTTCATATTTTCGAAATCGCTTGAATAGATTAATTGTCTTAGTTTAATTAGTTGATAGTTAATCACAAGTCTCTGTGGGTACAATATCTGGACGTATAATCCTATATTACTTGTCGACCACGTATACTTGCGTGTGCGTTTGGATTCTTTCCAATGTTGTATAGAAACTTCCCTTTAATCAATTTTGCATGTATTCTTTAAACCGTGCATTATTTTTGCACGTCACAAAACCATTTGATTTGTATATTTACCTCCAGGGGCAGCCCAAGAAGATTGGTGGCCTAAAGCCAATTTTTAATCTGTGGCCTTTCAAAAGCAAAAAATAATAATTCATCTATATTTTTAATTTAAGTCTATTTGTCTAGCTTTTCAAGATGTAAAGTTGTTAATAGTTTCTTTTTATAAATAATAATTTAATATCTCCTAAGATATTGTTGATCTTAGATAATAGAACCATATTCAAGAAGTTGATAACTTGATATCGAAATTATTTTTGATGTTCTAATATACTTATTGAAACGCTTGAAACCTGAAGGGAAAAAAAGAATGCGAATATAGTTTTATTCAAAGATACTCTTCAACTCTTGTTTTTTTTATAGAAAAAAGAGAACTCTTTTCTTTCTACAGAGAACAATATAACTTTTAATCGAAAAAAAAGAATCACTCCCTAAACCTTTGTCGCGAAAATAAAATATTTTATTATTTAAATTTTACGATTAACATAATTAGAGAAGTACCTATATTATTATTCCCCTTTTACATTACTCACTAAAACGTGTAATAAACTTTTAAAATCCGTTTTCTGGTATCTTCAATAGTCCATGTCTTAATTTTTATCTTTACCTTTTATAAAATATTTTACTTTTTTATTTTAAAATACGCAATATATTTAGACACTACCTCTAAAGATTGATGTGAGATGTATATGATCTAACTTACCTTAATTAGATATATTGGGTTCGAGTATTGTGGTTAAACAAATCCTGTCAAAATGTGTTCTTTCTTTTACTAGGCCTTACGCGGTACGAATCTAGATTAGTTGGGATCTCAATACTAATACGCCCCCAAAATTTGGGGGCCTAAAGCCTTTGCTTTAGTGGCTTGACCCTTGGGCCGCCCCTGTTTACCTCTTGGTTATTGATATTGCTACATAATTCAAAGAGTTAATGTAATTTTATAAATAATCTTGACAACTAAAAGTCCATATTTCGTAATGTTTTTGAGTAAACTTTTGTGCATAATTAGGGGCTCTTTCTTTTGTTACTTCTTTCTTTCTTTTCCTTTTCTTCTCCTGTTTTTTTTTTGGATTTTGGTTGTGTCGCTATAATGATTAGATATTTGGTAATCCACTCCAAAGATAATCGATCTTCTGAAAAGCAAATAACTTATAGTACTATGAACTATCTAGTATCTACTATAGAATAACCATGGAAATTGGCATATAATATTGTTAATTACTTAATTATATTGTAAAATAGACTTTCCTTTTGAACCAAAGAAAAGGCATTTAGTAGGGAATTTGCTTTAGGAAAAAAGAGAAAATTAAGGATCAAAATAGCTAGGGGAATGAGCATAAAATAACTAGGTTTTTGTTTCATAAAGTTAATGAGGTTTGGCTTTTTCTTGATTTAAGGGATTGCCTAGGCTCTTTTGGCTAGATTCTAGATGATAATTGGTTTGTACACTTTGTCAAGCTCCAAGCACGAGAGAACGGCGGTCTGTATTATAACCTAAAGTTATTTTTGTAATTTTAAACTCTTTAAAATATTAAGATTAAGTTGAAAAACATAATTGAAAATCAAACGAATCCAGCTTTAAAGAATAGTAATCTTTTAATAATATAATTATAGATTTAAAGTGGTGCTATAATCAATCCTATATTTAATAAACTATGACTTTAACGTGTACGATTACTTGTTTGTATGTGATTGTCAAAGGTTAAGTAGCGTGTGCGGCGCACCTCTGAGTATGTCAGTCTAAGGATGATAAAAAAGAATAATATTTTGAGTATAAAAACTAATACTCCATAAATATGTAACAGCAATAGAATATACGCTTAAAAAAATTAATTTATTTTCTACCTAATCTTATTTTAAATTAAGTTTACATGTACTTGTCCGGTAATGACTTACGCATGCTAAGTGAGTGAAATTGTCACGATCCGGAATTCCCACCATCGGGACCGTGATGGCGCCTAACATCATACTCGCTAGGCAAGCCAACGTTAGAATTTTATTTGTTGGGGTTGAAGTGGTAGTGTGAATGGGAAATGAGGAAAGAAGGTGAAAAGGCAACTTTGACTTTTGCACTTTGTCCTTCATTGGTTAAAGACAAGAATTTTGTTGGGTTTAAATATAGAAGCACTTCCTTAAGCTCTTAAAAGGAGCTAATAGGAAGGGGCCTCGCGCCGTCGTCGTCGCTCGCTCGGCTTCGGCTTCGGATTTTAAATATAGAAGCATTTCCTTAAGCTCTTAAAAGGAGCTAATAGGAAGGGGCCTCGCGCCGTCGTCGTCGCTCGCTCGGCTTCGGCTTCGGATTCGATTCGGTCAATTGATATGATTGATTGACTTAATTTTTTGGACCAATAAAATGAAATTGACCGTTATTTGTAACGTTAAATTAATTAATTTTCGTCTTTAATTTTCCCGCATTAATTAAACAACCACCAAAGAGAGGCTGCATTTCACGAATAGCCACCTGCAGTGTGAACAGCCACTTCCACACCCTTTCAATCCAGAATTCGTTGGCTATAAATAAGCAACCATTCCTTCAGAATTTTTCATCCTTAAATCTTCTGCTTCATCTCCTTCTTCTTTCTTCATCATTACTTTCAAAACAAAGTAAGTCAAGGTCGTGTGATTTTCACCATCATTTTGAGTTCGTTGATAAATTAGTGGTTTGAAGTGCCGCTACCGCTAAGTTGGAAGTTCCGTTCTATCCTGGGAAGAATTTATCCGTTAACCTTGGGCAACAGTGAGGGGATAAGATTCTTTAAGGACACACAAGGAATTTGTAGGCTCGGAACATAATTCTGCCATTTTGTTCATTTACTTTTCTTGTTTTTTAGTCACTTAAAAATTTCAGATTGTCTAACAAGATATATATATATATATATATATATATATATATATATATATATATATATATATAAATATCTTTACTGTTCTGATTTTCGAAGTGACTAAGGAGACTAAAACCTTCGTGGTTTTCTACTCCTAATCAGTTTGAAGAATAATCTCTTCACTGTGTTGTTTTGGGTTGAAGGAATAAATACTTCACCATTTACTGAATCTGTTTGTGTCATATTGACAGAAATGACTAACGGAGAGGAACAAATTGAACCTGTTGTGACTGTTACTACTAACATAGTTTCGGGGATGCCAGGTCCTAGCCGTCCTACTGCACCTGCAACGGCGATGCCACCAACGGAAAGGCCAGGGAAATTTTCTGGTGTTGACTTTAAGAGATGGCAGCAAAAGATGTTCTTTTATCTAACCACTCTAAGTCTGCAAAGGTTCATTCAAGAGGATGTTCCAGTCGTGCCTGAAGGAACCCCTGACAACGAGCGCTTCCTTGTTACTGAGGCTTGGAAGCACTCTGATTTTCTGTGCAAAAATTACATTTTAAGTGGGCTGGAAGATGGCTTGTACAACGTTTATAGCGTCATGAAAACATCAAGAGAATTATGGAATGCTCTTGAAAAGAAGTACAAGACTGAAGATGCTGGACTTAAGAAGTTTGTGGCCGCCAAATTTCTGGATTTCAAAATGATTGACGGTAAATCTGTCATAACGCAAGTCCAAGAATTGCAAGTTATTGTTCATGACCTCCTTGCTGAAGGTATAAAACGAGTTAATATTTTTATTCAAGATATTAATTATTGTACTAATTATAAAATTATGATTGAAGGTATGGTCATAAATGAAGCGTTTCAAGTTGCGGCATTTATTGAAAAGCTGCCTCCGTTGTGGAAGGACTTTAAGAATTACTTGAAACATAAGCGCAAGGAGATGACGCTTGAAGACCTTATTGTTCGTCTACGGATTGAAGAGGACAACAAGGCTGCTGAGAAGAAATCTCGTGGAAATTCAACAATAATGGGTGCAAATATTGTTGAGGAAGCTTCAACGAGTAAAAAGAGAAAGAAGCCGTCTGGATCAACGAATTATCCAAGCAAGAAGAGGTTCAAAGGTAATTGCCACAACTGTGGAAAGGTTGGACACAAGGCTACTGAATGTCGTGCACCAAAGAAGGACAAGAAGAAAAGACAAGCAAACATGATTGAGAAGAATGATGAAATAGACGACCTATGTGCCATGTTTTCAGAATGCAACCTAGTCGGAAATCCTAGAGAATGGTGGATTGATTCAGGAGCAACTCGACATGTTTGTGCTAACAAGGAGTTGTTTACTTCTTATGCTCCCGCTGGACCCGATGAGACAGTGTTTATGGCAAACTCCGCTACTGCAAAAATTGAAGGAACGGGCAAGGTGGCTTTGAAGATGACTTCGGGAAAGATTGTGACTCTAAAAGATGTTCTTCATGTTCCTGAAATGCGGAAGAATTTAGTCTCAACATCACTTCTAGTCAAGAATGGCTTTAAGTGTGTTTTTGTTTCCGACAAGGTTGTAATTAGTAAGAATGAAATGTATGTAGGAAAAGGTTACCTGACTGAGGGCCTTTTTAAGCTCAATGTAATTGCCATTGATATGAATAAAATTTCAGCTTCTTCTTACTTGCTTGAGTCAAATAATTTATGGCATGAACGTTTAGGCCACGTCAACTTCAAAACTTTGCGAAAAATGATTAATTTGGAAGTATTACCTAAGTTTGAATGCAATAACTCGAAATGTCAAATATGTGTGGAATCAAAGTATGTTAAGCATCCTTATAAGTCAGTTGAAAGGAATTCAAATCCTTTAGACTTAATTCACACGGATATTTGCGACATGAAGTCAATACCATCTCGCGGTGGGAAAAAGTATTTCATAACTTTTATTGACGACAGTACTAGATATTGCTATATTTACTTACTTAATAGTAAAGATGAAGCAATAGACGCATTCAAGCAATACAAAAATGAAGTTGAAACGCAATTAAACAAAAAGATTAAAATGATAAGAAGTGATAGAGGCGGGGAATATGAATCTCCTTTTGAAGAAATATGTTTGGAAAATGGCATTATTCACCAAACAACTGCCCCTTACTCACCGCAATCTAATGGAATTGCAGAAAGAAAGAATACAACATTAGAGGAGATGATGAACGCCTTATTAATAAGTTCTGGTTTACCTCAGAACTTGTGGGGGGAAGCTATTCTTACAGCTAATCAAATACTGAATCGAGTTCCCCATAGCAAAACACAATCCATTCCATATGAAAAATGGAAAGGAAGGAAACCTAACTTAAAATATTTTAAAGTGTGGGGGTGTTTGGCTAAAGTGCAAGTTCCTAAACCCAAAAGGGTAAAAATTGGACCAAAAACCGTTGATTGCGTTTTCGTAGGATATGCAACAAATAGTAAGGCATACCGGTTTCTGGTTCATAAATCAGAAAATCCCGACATTCATATTAATACGGTAATTGAATCGGATAATGCTGAATTTTTTGAGAATATTTATCCGTATAAAATGGAATGTGAGTCGTCTAATGAAAAATCTAAGCGACCTCGGGAAGAAGCAAAGGAAAGTTCGTTTGATGAAGAAAATCCAAGACGTAGTAAACGTCAAAGGATAGCTACTTCCTTTGGACCAGATTTTCTGGCATTCTTATTTGAGAATGAGCCTCAAATGTTCAAAGAAGCAATGTCTTACTCGGAAGCACAATATTGGAAAGAGGCAGTCAATAGTGAGATAGAATCCATATTAAGTAATCATACCTGGGAATTGGTTGATCTTCCTCTGGGAAATAAACCTTTGGGTTCTAAATAGATTTTCAAAAGGAAAATGAAAGCTGATGGTACTATTGACAAATATAAGGCAAGATTAGTTGTTAAAGGGTTTAGACAACGAGAAGGTCTTGATTACTTTGACACATACTCGCCGGTAACAAGGATTACATCTATCCGGGTGTTAATAGCGTTAGCCGCCGTGTATGGCCTTCAAATCCATCAGATGGATGTAAAGACGGCCTTCTTAAATGGGGATTTAGAGGAAAAAATCTATATGGAACAACCTGAAGGGTTTGTAGTCTCCGGAAAAGAAAAGAAGGTGTGTCGACTTGTTAAGTCACTTTACGGACTAAAACAAGCACCAAAACAATGGCATGCGAAATTTGACCAAACAATGTTGTCAAATGGTTTCAAGATCAATGAGTGTGACAAATGTGTTTACATTAAGAATACTCCAAATCAAATAGTCATTGTTTGTTTATACGTGGATGATATGTTGATAATGAGTAACAATATTGCTAACATAAATGCTACTAAGCGCATGCTTACTAGTAAATTTGATATGAAAGACTTAGGAGTTGCAGATTTAATTTTGGGAATCAAGATCCTACAGACTCCTCAAGGTCTAGCTTTGTCTCAATCTCATTATATTAATATGGTTCTTGAAAAGTTCAAATATTTGGAATTTAAAGAAGCAAAAACGCCAATTGATTTAAACCATATTCTTGCAAAGAATAAAGGTGAAAGAAAATCTCAATTGGAATATGCTCGAGTGTTGGGAAGTTTGATGTACATTATGAATTGTACATGACCTGATATAGCTTGTGCAATAAGCAAGCTTAGTCGATACACAAGTAATCCCAACCAAGCTCATTGGTTAGCAATGAAACGAGTCTTGGGATATTTGAAATATACTCAAGACTATGCAGTGCATTACAATAATTATCCCGCAGTTATTGAGGGATATAGTGATGCAAATTGGATCACCGGAAATAAAATCCACAAGTGGATACGTTTTTACTATTGGTGGGGGAGCAGTGTCTTGGAAGCCGTCCAAACAGGCATGCATCGCTCGCTCTACAATGGAGTCTAAGTTTATAGCTTTAGACAAGGCCGGTGAAGAAGCTGAATGGCTCCGAAATTTCTTAGAAGACATTCCTTTTTGGCCCAAACCTTTGGCACCTGTATGCATACATTGCGACAGTCAAGAAGCAATAGGAAGGGCTGGGAGCGTTATGTATAACGGGAAATCTCATCACAGTCGATGAAGGCATAATACCATTAGACAACTATACTCTAGTGGAATTATCACTATTGATTATGTGAGATCAAACGATAATATGGCGGATCCGCTTACAAAAGGCCTAACTAGAGAGGGAGTTGAGAAGTCATCAAAGGGAATGGGACTATGGCTGAGGACAAGTCACTATGGCGGTAACTCTACCTAGAAGACTGGAGATCCCAAGATCTAGGTTCAAGGAGATCAAACAAAGTCATTAGTGACAGTTCAACATTGTCAAATAAAATTTTGGTCGATTCTCGTGATGCAGACAATGTTCAGTACCAAGGATAAAGCGTTAGGATTTTGTAATAATTTCTAAGTTTGATATGGGGTATATCAAATAGTGTATCTACGGGATAACACATTTAGGAATCACCTATATAAGTGTGAAGTGTAAGCCGCTTCAAAGAGAATGATGTAAGGCCAATTCTCTATGCACTTATGAAACCAGGCGGTTTTCATGGCTAAAACAAACACAACAGTGAGAACCAAAAGATGGATAAGGATTAATTGTGTGACATATGTTGTCTAGGTATACACTAAAGCTCGACGGTTCAAAGATATCAAATCTACCGATTGACCGAGTATATCCGATATATGCTCACTACGGAAAGTTCAAAGGAAAACCTACTTATCCCGATGCAATTAGTCCTTAGTTGCGAATCACACAATTTTTTTTTTCATGTTCATCATTCCCCATTCATGTGGGGGATTGTTGGGGTTGAAGTGGTAGTGTGAATGGAAAATGAGGAAAGAAGGTGAAAAGGCAACTTTGGCTTTTGCACTTTGTCCCTCATTGGTTAAAGACAAGAATTTTGTTGGGTTTAAATATAGAAGCACTTCCTTAAGCTCTTAAAAGGAGCTAATAGGAAGGGGCCTCGCGCCGTCGTCGTCGCTCGCTCGCTCGGCTCGGCTTCGGCTTCGGCTTAGTGGTTTGAAGTGCCGCTACCGCTAAGTTGGAAGTTTTGTTCTATCCTGGGAAGAATTTATCCGTTAACCTTGGGCAACAGTGAGGGGATAAGATTCTTCAAGGACACACAAGGAATTTATGGGCTCGGAACATAATTCTGCCATTTCTGTTCATTTACTTTTCCTGTTTTTTAGTCACTTAAAAATTTCAGATTGTTTAACATTATTCACCCTTTTTCCTTTGCATTTCATAGTTTAAAATTAACAAAGCTAAATCAAGTTGAAATAAATGTGGAAGTACGTAATTAACCTGTCATCTATATACTATTAACAATACCATAACTGTTACTACCCAGAAACTGGTGTCACAATCCACGAACATACTATGAATATCTATAAACATTGGTCTGAAAGAAATTACATTTGTTTCGAGAGAAAAGAAAATAGGAATGTAGAAACATAGGAGGGGACGCTAGGGCCTGCGGATGCCAGCAGGACTACCTTGGGTCTCCTAGATGAAATATCTGCAACCGACCTCTCGATCAGCCACTACCAGCTCCAAAATCTGCACAGAAAGTGCAAAGTGCAGTATCAGTACAACCGATCTCATGTACTGGTAAGCGCCGAGCCTAACCTCAACGAGGTACTGACGAGGCTACGGCCGGGCAGTTATAATATAACCTGCATACAATGCATAATAAAACAGAAAGAAGAACGGAACAATAAATAGTAACTTGCAAGAAAAGGATACAGAACTCCGGTATCTCATTAGTAACCAGCTATAACCAACCATTAAATGTAAAGACAAATTACAGAATAACTTGCACAGTAGAAGAAAGGTACATAAACACATAAACTGATGCGGCGCGCATCCCGATCCCATCATATAATCAATATCAATATGAATATTCACCCTTATTACTCCATTTCAATCCACCCTTATTTCTCCTGTTGCGTCGTGCAACCCGATCCCACCGTACAATAGTAATTCACCCTTATTTCTCCTCAACATACCATCCTTATTACTCATGTTGCGGCGTGCAACCCGATCCCACCAGACAATAGCATTTCACTCTTATTCCTCCTCAATATATCACCCTTATTCCTCCTGTTGCAGCACGCAGCCCAATCCCACCATATCAGTACCAATCAGGAATTTTACAATTTAGCTCAAAACCCTCCACAATATTTAAGCCTCAAACCAAAGCAAACAGAAGGCTACACAATCATGAATTCCACTCAATTAATGCTACACAGCGAGACCAACCAAAATATACCATGAAATATCGATAAGCCAACTTAAACCAATAATGTAATACAATGAAACTACTGAATAGTTAATACCTTCAATAAAGAAAACAACATCTAACAAGAAGCAATTAAACATGAAAACTCCAATAAGCATGTAGCAGTTAAGACAGGAAGACAATATATTAGGAACGGGGAAAGAAACAGGCTAAACAGATAATTTGGCGGCGCATAGGTACTCGTCACCTCACCTATACGCCACACACATGGATTTTCACATAGCAATTAAGTTGGGGATCCCTAATCTCTCAAGTCAAAG